GATGATGTTTTGTTGATTATCGATCGACTTGACAAGTCAGCTTACTTTCCGTTGGTCCAGAAGGACTACATTTTTTACCATTTGCTAAAATTTCTCATTCTTGAAATTTTTTAGATTTTTTGGCATCTCGATCGACATCTACTTTGACTGTGATTCCATATTCACCTCTTTGTGTTGGAGGGCATTCCAGTCAACATTGACTACGTATCTACCCTATTGTATTCCATATTATTTTTTATGCAGACAGACAGTCTAGGAGAATCGCTCGGACATTGAAACTTTAGTTGTGATCATCAATTCCTTAATCACCCAACAAATATGTTGCTAAACAAACCTTTACCGTTGGTGATTGAATATTCCGAAAGCCACAGTTAAAGCGAGATATATGCATTTAACCAGTTACCTTGTATTCTAGATTTGATGAATTTGTTTTAACCCTCAAATTCTTGAGTGTTCTTTTAGTCTTCTTGACATGGTTTTTCGCTAAATACGAGAGAAATTCACTATGAATCTGCTCGCTAAGGCGTTCTGAACTATGTTGTTCGGCTACATGCTATATCTCACTGTGATGCGCGTTTTGCTTCCAAGTCTTGGGAAGTCTTCTTGAAGGCCATGTATACTAAGTTTTTGTCCGGTACCACATTTTCGCCTTCAGACTGACAGCCAATTTGAACGAATTATGCAGACCTTATCTCTGTTAGAGTAGCATGTAACTACGATTACTATTCCGGTTTCGGGTATGGCACCACCAGAGGCATTGTATAGAGAATTTTACAGATTGTACTTGACAAATAGAAGAGTATTGTAAACCGCTATTCGAATAATCGAGATTACGATATAGGAAATTGTGTAATATTGACAACATTTCCCGAGAGTACTCTAAACCTTATACTTTCGTCTTCGTGGTTCGATTCTGAGCTTGTTTGTGTGTTTTGGACGCGAAGTATTACATAAAAGGTGATGGGAGACTTCCCTAGATTTTCGACAACTGGACCCACGAGTTATAGGTGTTTTCCAGCCACGGCGAGTCCTCGTGTTGGTAAATCCTTGTTCTCTTTTTCCTTAGCTTCATTTTGACATAAAGATTGTTGAAAATGGTTGAGATTCGAAGCTAAACAAAGTCAGGGAAGTTTCCCGGCCAAATCCCCAGATTCTGGCGGTTGCAGCAGCCATCGGGAAAAAAAAATGAAAAAAAGAAAACAAGCTCAAACCTAGATCCAACCCGACAAATTCCTAATTGGATTTGGAATATTCCTCGAATATTTTGGAACATTCCTTGTGTTGACTTTTATGAAATTTTCTCGGAAACCCTCCTACGCTAATTTCAATGTCTCGAGTCCGTTTTTGACATCCATTTAGTGAAATTTCAAAGTTTTAATGTAGTTGACCACCTCGATAACTCGGTTGACTTTTGGGGGTTGACCATTGATTTTTTACAAAAATTACTCGGGACCCTGCTTAGCGTATTTCAACGCGCTGATTCCGAATCCACCGTCCATTTCTCCAAATTCAAACATATTAATTAAGTTTTAATAATGGATCTCTATTATGCTTAGGTACGATTAGCATTGGCGATCCGTATTTACTCATTCAAACATCTACGACTTCGTAAGTATCTGTGAGTGGGTCTTTTCTTTTATATAGTGTGTGTGTGTATATATATATATATATATATATGTTTGTGTAGTTTTCACTTATATATTTAATAATGAATTTTCTACATGATTTCCATAATTAAATTAACGTTTATAAGAAAGGTCGTAATGTTGAGAATTATGAAATTATTCTGAATCATGTGGGATGCGCAAGTATGCGTACTATTATGAGATGCCTTAATTATATTTGTGGTCATGAATAGTGTTATGTTGACTAGAATTATCGATTTACCGTTGTATGATCATATTTACGTTCTATGCTCATCGTGTACTACACTAGTGTTAGTACTCGCCCGGGCTAGTCATTCACGTGTATGTTCACATCGCACCGTACGCTGACTTTGGATCCATTGTAGGTGCCAGTCCTGTCCAAGTTTGCTATAGGCAATTAGGACTCGTATGTGATGCGCATAGCGCTAGTCTTCAAGTGATTGTAGTACTATAACGTAAATCATCATTACACCCAACCATGTTCATGTCAGAATATCTCTGCATGAACTCGTGTGTCAGCATATGTCGATGAGCATTTGATATGATATGTTTGTTTATGCGAAATTATGTGATTACCGACATTATGTGTTTATTTACGAAATGTTGTGACATATTTCATTATTGAGATATTGTTGGCTACAGTCTGTATTTTCATACTATACGTAGTATGTTATATGTGGAAGCTATACTTGTTTTACGGCAAGGGGTTATTATTTTTTCGAAAAGGTTTTTACAAAACTTTATTTTTAGACCCACTCATCCTTATTTTTTGCCCCTCCAGATTTTAGTAGCAGAGCTTTTGTGTCGACGAGGATTCTTACCAAATCTTGGTATAGGTGATTACCTTCAATGCTATAATTCTTATCCTACCTTTACTATACTTTACTTATGTTCTGACATCACGTGTGAATGGTGTTCAATCCCGCTCATGTGCGCACTCTTCCATTTAGGCACTTTTAGGTTTAAATTTATTCAATTTACCACCCCACTACACTTTATTCAATTTTTCCACTCCACTACACATTATGGCTTAGTCACCTTCTGGGTGTCGGCCAGCACAGCTCGATTTAGAGTTCAGATGGACATTACGCATCGGAATGTGTCACATACAATTCTTTATACTTGTATCCGTACAGATTTAAAATGTTATCCATACAGGTTTTAGCCCAAAAATTATGAGAAACTAAAAGACCCAGAGGGAAAAAAAAAAAGTTGGAAGTGTAAAACCAAAAAGAAAAAATGATTTGGATATTCATACCACTCGTAAGAAAAAGAAATAATAACACTGTCCCCATGCCATGGAAAACCAGACACGTGTTCATTCTAAACCTATTCTTAACTGACACTAACTAACAAGAAGTGTTTCGTTCTAATAATAACCAGCACTCCACCCTATAAAATTGTATTTCTTCAGAATTCCTCGCACTTGCGAAGAACAATTAAGAACGAAGTTTTTTTTTATTCTTTCAATATTATCTCTAAGGAACTCAGAGTTTTATCACTTCAAGTTTACATTCAATCAATCATGGACATGAAGAAGATCTCGCTTGCCATCATCGTCATTGCTGCCTTGATCAGTGTGGTCTTGGCAGCCGGTAAGGAACATGCACCGAAGGCAGCTGCTGCCCCGAAGGACGCAGCGGCCACCGGAGCTCCAACTGCCACCAAGGACGCTGCCCCTGGCCCAGCAAGTGGTGCCGCCTCCGCCACTTTGTCCGTCGTTGGATCATTGGCTGGGGCCTCCCTTTTGTCGTTCTTTGGGTTTTACCTTCAGTAATTAATTATTCAGCTCGGGGAATAAGTAATTCTTTTAACGGCAAATTGGAAAGTGAGACCATATTCATGAGATGGTGATGGGATTAATTTTCAAGAGAAGAAAGGAGATCGTGTTGATTTCATGTATTTCAACTAGCTATGCTACGTTCTTTGAAATAATTGTTTTTTTTTTTTTTGGTGAAAGACTTTCTTCAATTAATTGAATTGCCTCTATTCTTTCCAATTTCTCTCTCCATCTCTCTTTGATTAATGTATGAAGGGAAAAATTAATTAACTTCTTTTTAAATCTTTGTATTGAAGTTGATGGGAAAGATCCACTTTAGAGAGTTTTTTTCATTACTAACCCTATCTTTAGATGAGGAACATTCAAAATATCAGTAAACATTCAATTAACGGCTTAAACGCCAAAAACTACTGCAAAAACTCTACAAATGCAACATTAACAAAGGACATTCAAAATGACACATTTCAAAATGTCGTTTGAAAGTTCTCTTAATTATATGGCTCTAGTCATTTTTTAAGATGTGCAACGATGGTTTGAAGAACCGCCGGATGTAATTTCATATTTACTTTCTTGAGAGTAGCAAAATTAATTTTGACACAGTACATGGTTTAAATTAAGGCATAGTAACACTAATTTCGAATAAGATGTAATTTCAGATTTACTCAAATATGTCATAATCCACCATATATGATTGGTTTTCATAATAAGTGAACAAAGTTTTTTTATTTTGTTTGATACAATGATATTCAATTCTAATGGGAGGCGATATTCTACTCTCAGGGATAGGGAATTGGCTAAGCCTACATAATAGATCATTCATAGCTAGACATCAAACTCAACACAAATATTATATGACATCGTCATCCATGTGATTTAAACTTAAGACCCTCTCACTTACAAGTGGAGTAAAACCACTAGAACTATAGTACTAGTTAGTTAATAAGTGAACAAAGAATAATACAAAAATAATAATTAAGCTCGTTGATATGAACTTAGCCTTGCAGTGGACTAGCAATAATGTGATTCAAATTCGTCTTTGGCGAGAATCGAACCTAAAACCTCTTACTTACGTACAAGCTAGCATTGTAACGGGAGCTTCATATTTGCTAAAATGAATGTACTCTCCCTACGTATTTGCTAAAGTGTATATCTTTGACCAACAGTTCACCAATTTGGTCATTCCCGATCTACCAAGCAAATTAAAATGGTTGTTTTTATTGTTTGTTCCAATTTTCTGATGTGTTTTAGTCCAATGGCCCCAAAGTTAGAAGTTGAACAAAACAACAAATCGAACTAGAAATGTGCATTTGTTTGTGGCCACGGGTACGCAAAAACATCGTTCAATGATTTCCTTCCTTCCTTATACCATGCAAAAAACACGTTCAACCACCAAAAATTGTTTCATTCTAATCACATAACTCAAAATCTCCCTATAAATTGAAACAACTTTCCTCTGTTTTCCTCAGCACTGCAGTAATCAAAGAAGTAATAAAGAAATTTCCTTCATATCCTATCTCTAAGGCAGCTGTGTTTTTGATCAACTTATCCTCAATTTCACAATATTCATCATAGAAATGAAGAAGATCTCCCTCGCCATCATTGTCCTTGCTGCCTTATTGAGCGTTGTCTTGGCTGTTGACCCAGTCCCCGCTACTCCCAAGGACCCAGCTGCCGCTGCTACTAAGGACCCAGCTGCCGCTGCTCCTAAGGAATCAGCTGCAGCTACTCCTAAGGCCTCAGCTACTGCCCCCGTAGGCTCAGCTACCTCCCCCGTAGGCTCAGCTGCTACCACCACAAGCACAGCATCCTCCCCTGACTCAGCTCATGCTCCTGCTCCATCAGGCACCGCCAGCACAATGCCCGTTGTCGGCTCTCTGGCCGGTGCCTTCCTCGTGACCTTCTTTGGCTATTACCTGCAGTAAGCTCAGAGAACAAAAAAAATATTCTCAATGAGACTATAAAAAGTGGAATATTTACTTGGACATCCCATTGGGATTTCCAAGAGAAAATTAAGGATGTTTTTGTATGTATGTGATTAAGATTGTTGAATGTTAATAATCCATTTATATATATGTATATATATATATATGTATGTAATATTTACTTACCTGCATTCCCTTGCCTGGATCCTTCAAACCTTTCTTCTCACCTCATTAAGGTTAAAACCTGAAGATAAACTGTACAAGTGAAAAAACATGCAGTATATTTAGACAACAGTAAAAGTTAATCGCATCGATTTTCCAGTAGAGCCAATGTGAGTAACAATCTGCAAATATGTTATTTCCCACTCTACATCTTCAACAAATAACACTCTGGTTGACAAACAAATTTTAAGTCAATACGATGAAACAAATACTCTTTTTTCTTTTTCTTATTTCCCGGAACAGTTTTGCATAAATTACAAGCAAATTGACCATTAAAACTTAGGACTCTCCATTAGATTTCTGTGCAGACATGAGACTCTTTGTCAACCAGATAGCTGTTTCTCTAGAAGAGACAGCGTCTTCTCCAAATGGTCTTAGCACGCCGGCAAGCTCATCAAGTTTGTCCTGCTTTAGTAGACGTGCGCATAGCTCAAGCAGAGACTCAAGGGCATCAGCTCTTTGCTGACTTGGATTTTCCCACTCACTCTTAGAATCATCACTGCCTACTGCCGCTACATCACTTGCTGCTTTTTTAATCACACGAGCCTCACCTTTTTCTATCTGCGCAGAGCAATTGTTATTGTCTGCCTTTCCCACCACTTCATGTTTTGCTTTCTGTATGGAGCTTTCATTGTTGTTTTCAGATAACAAGTATTCCACATTACCAACTTCAGTATACACATTGGACCTTTCCTTCTCTAAACAGCAACTGGGTTCCACTTCAGTATCATCAATCGACCCAACTTTTTGGGTACCGCTTACACTGGGCACCGCCAATACCCTGCAATTTTCTTCATTAGCCCCCTCTCTTTCTGCTTTAGCTCCTTCAAGAACTTGTTGATTTTCATATGCCATTCCGTCCTCACTGTTCGGAGTCTTGAAATCAACCTCTTTCAATTGTTTGAAATTTGACGCAGTTGGTTCTTCTACTTCTTCATGCTGAGAATTTGATGCGCTCTCTGATGTAACCTCAATGTCAGATTCAGTATTTTCCTTTTGTGCTATACTGGTAGTGTCAGCTTGCTTATCACAAACAGATGCTTCTGAATCAGTCGGCCCATCTTTTGAACCATCAGTGGCATTGGATACTTCTAAAGAACAGCTAGTAGGATCAACTCTCTTGGTTTCAAGCTCCTCTGCACTAGCTGTGAATACAGGGTTATCAATGTTTGTTACATATCTATGCGTCAGTTCAGCGCTGCTCCCAAATGGTTGGACCTTTTCCACGTGGTTCATTTTTCCAGCCTCTCTCTCTCTGTTGTCTTTGCCACTGCTGCGCTTGCTAGGTGGTGATTTTCTTGGAGTTTTATCTTTTAAGTTGGTTTGTGGACATACAGGAAGAAAAACTGATGATGCATTGCGGCATTGAAGGACGTATGGTTGTAAGTGTGGATGCCTTAATAACTCGGCTGCCTAAAGTAATAGATCATGCGGGTATTAGAGCCAAAAATAAATTTTCTTCAAATATCATGCAAGTGGGAAGTAGACTCACTGTTGGTCTGTGTTCCGGACTTTTCCTGAGCATGCTCTTGATTATTTGTTTCCTATGATCCGAGGCCAATACCATATAAGTCGATACATATCATATTAATTAGAAATATGCAATTGAAATATTCATTTCAAATAGCACCATGGTTTCGATGGTTTTAAAGATAATTACTTACAGTGTGGAAGAATACACAATTGGAAGAGGAGAAATGGTGGATCTGTTAATTTTGTTGATAAGCCCAGCCATGTCCTGTATAATCAAGTCATTCAGAATGGCAGCTCATAAAATCAATGAGGCATCAACATCTCAAGCTTATACTTACAGGTGCTCTAAATGCAGGTTGATGTGCGGCAATCTCAAACATACAGCAACCTGAAAAGCAATAGAAACTACAGTTATAACGGTTCTAAATCATGGTCATGAGCCAGGAAAGTATAATTATAAGAGACTAGAGTTCTTACCAAGCGACCATATGTCAGATTTATAGCCATAAGGTATATCTGCAAGGAGCTCAGGACACATGTAGTTTGGAGTTCCGACAACCTACGTTGAAAATATAGGGATTGAAAATGAACTGACATAAATAAGTAAATTTAGTGATATAGCTGCCAGTACCAGAGGCCAAAAATACTGAGGAATATCCTCTCCAAGATTGGGTGGCCTTGTTGGATAACCCAGTGCTTGGTGGGGAAGGAGAGGTTTGTAAACTACTCTATGGAAATTTTCATGAACGAAGAGGCGTTCAAAGAAATACTTGGAACTTCCAGCTTGTTTACAGCCACAGGGTTCTAAGAGACAGACTAGAATTGTGTAGGTAGAGGCATAAAGACAATAAAATAATATAAATGCAAGTCCATACCGAAGAAGTAAGATCTTCTGTGTTGAGTAGTTTTGCAAGCCCAAAGTCACCTATAAGGTCCATGCAACATATACATTTCTTTAAAAACATCAAATACGGAAACCAAACTGAATGCAGAGAAACAGTGCTTCTCTTCACAATCAATATGTATACATACCGAGTCGGATGTCATTGTCCTTTGTAAGGAATACATTTGAGCACTGCAATCATTGAATTTTATGTTATTAACCATCATAGCTATTATACTATTATTCCTCACTGCAACTATGGGTATTATATTAGTATATTACCTTAAGATCCCTATGAAGTACACGATTGGAGTGCAAATAGTCCAGAGCTAGCAACAACTGAGTCAGCCATTTGCAGAGCTTCTGCAGGGCAAAACAGAATAACAACATAGAGCAGTTGCTTGCTACCCTTTATACAGGTAGATATACAGGACGTGAAGTTTTATCAAATCTAATTGATTACCTCCTCTGGAATAAATTGTCCTCTGGCCTTCTTTACCATATCAGCCCTGTTAACAGATTAGAAGTTTATCATTCAGTAATCACTGGAAGCATTACAATTTATTTTCTACTTCTTAAGTAATTTAAGGAAGAAATACTCTCCTAAGGTCCTTAATGAGGTCTTAATTAACATCCACTAGATTAGATATAGGCGGTTGAGGTGAATCCCGGCTGTCCATATCTGATCTAAGGACTCCAAAACAATACTTCACGTAAGGCCCCTATTTATGGACCTTAGAAGAACAGGACTGATCAATACATATACATTGTTTAATATGTTTACTAAGTAACTACGATATTAGATTTCCTCCTATATTTTGTCCAAAAATCATGTGCGTTGTCAATCACTTTCAAGCTTATACTTAGACGAAACTTGAGGAACAAAATTAAGTATTTAAACTTGTTATAGAAGCAAAAAGATGTTAAAATATGACTCTTTTAATTCCTAATTTTGGAAAAAAGAAAACTGCATTATGTCATACCAGCCAAAACATAATTAGAATATCGTTGATGTAAATTGTTGCTACTTACATGTCACCTCCTTCACAATAGCCCGTTACAATGCATATGCAGTCTCCCTGCAGAAAATATAAACTTTTAAGCATGCGCATGTGAAGTCAAGTTTTGCTACAAGTGCTAAAGACTTATCCGAAAATATACTCTTGAGTCCAATTCAAATATATGAAACTTAAGAATCATGGATTCACCTTGTCCACCCAAGCATCTTTATAATCCACAATATATGGATGATTCAACTTTGCAATTAAATTCATCTGCAGCAGAATAATAGAGATTGCGATTAATTGAGTAGGAAACACATCTTTCAGAGAAAATTACTACGAAATCACAAGATAAAATATCAGAAGAAAACTAATACGGTTCACAGGTGACAAAATATGAGGTAGATATTGAGAACGAAACAAGTGTTATCGACAATCTAAGATGATATTTAGAATCATAGTAACTGGGGATTACAAATCTAGAAGGTTACAATCAAGGATCTATTATAATTATGTGTCCATAATATAATCAATAATGCATCATTTATGAGATACATGTTCTCAATGTCTGTGTGAGCGCATGCTCGTGTATTCTACTTTCATATGAATATTGTTTCACGCCTGCATCTCCCAGTAGATTGTCAAAAAATAGATCTGGGTATTTCTGACAGGACGAAGTGCAGCCAACACATGTAAGTTTCACAAAACTGAGATAACCGGAACAACAGTGCTGATATGGACAAACAAATAAGAAAGTTGGGGCTTGTATGTCCTATGTTGACTGCCAAGAAAACAGGTAAGATGATATTTGATGCTACATTTGGTTCCTAAAAGGAAAAATGGTATGGAAAAAAGAAAAGCCTCACCCTTTAACTGGAAATATAGCAAATCAAAAAATTGGAACAACTTTTAAAGAACAAATAAAGGAAAAATATTTGTAGCTGGCACTCGGTTCTAAATTTATCAATATCTAAAAAGTTTTCAAGAAGCAACCTCTTGGTGAGCTGTGCGTTTGAACTTCTCCGCTTGCTTAGTCAAACGAATCTTTTTCAATACATACCTATTAAACGGAAAATTTAATAATTAAACAAAGTTGGAGAAAGATTGGAGTAAGCAAATTTGAGTTAGACAAAAGTTGTACAATCAACATATAAAGTATTGTCCAAAAATTCATACCCCGGAGATGTGACTTTTGATAAACGTGTAGGGTTTTCTTATTGAATTCTGTTTTCAATTACAACCCCTATTATCCAGCTATTCAATTTTCTTGCTAAATTATGTCTCTAATTACACAATTATATTGCAGATTACAAGAATTACATTACTAATTACAACTTTCATTTCAAAAGGTAAAAGGTTGGTAGAAAATACTCTTACTTCTTTTTCTGAGTCTTATGAAGAACAAGAAAGGCGGCTCCAAA